GTGAACTAGATTTAGACTTGGTTTATAATCATTAGATATATGCAGCCCTTAATTGTGCAAGTAGCATAGAAAAATTATGTTCACATACATTGAAAAAAATTTTATAATATAACATAATATTGGATAGTTAAAATTCCTAGGTAGCAGCCAGTTGTCCACGAATGATTCAGTTAATACAGTCAGGTCATCGGAGCTAGAAAATGCTTTGGTTGTGGTGAAAAAAATCGAGTAAGTTCTAAGCACATTTGATCCTTGTAAATCGTTGGGATCTAATGAAGCCAGCAGAACAATAACAATTTCCAGACATTTCTGTGTTCGTCACAAGAAGATGTGTGCTATATACATAAAGTATGGAAAAAAAGTTTTCATTATCTTCTTTGTAGGTGGATACACAATTATTCTGAAAACTTCAGATCAATTTGTGTTACGTCTTTTCTCAAAATAACACCGGATAGATTGGTGGATGCATATATACTAGAAGTCATCTGTGTCAAGAAGTATGTGATGACAGCCTTAATAGATGGTGAAAGCACTTCTAACAATATTCAAATCAAAATTGTAATGGTAGCCTTTGTAAATCTGAGGGTACACACGAAACTGGTTGCTTTGGTGGAGTCTAGTACACGCCACTAAAGTGGTAACTACTAATTTTGTAAGTTTAACTGTAAAGCATACAGATTAGTAGATGTACTTCCTAGGAAGAGGTACTGTCTCTTCTACCCTGGATTTTGAATGTAAACACTTTACGGCCGCTTTCGTCAGACTGCATTGAATATAGATAGTTGTTATTCATACAGTTCTTTACTGTCAACTTTTACATTACCTGTTAAATGGTCGTTAATATGCTCATTAAACATATTTTAATATTAGCAAGCGATCGCTGATTGTGAATCTAATAATACTCAATAATAAATCAAAAAAAAAAAATTTCGATTTTATTTATAATTTGACAAGTTTTCTCTAGAAAAATGTTAAAGTGCGTTTAACATTTCTGTTTAATCTCACATTTCTATTATAATTTCAAAATGTTATTTATAATATTTAGAAATGCTAGTGGATGCTAAACTTCACAACTGTGAAACTGTATAATATTGACTACCATAAAAAGTTAACCAGAAAAATAAAATAAGAGATTTTCTAAAAAATTTAATATAACAGCTTTACTATCAGGAATGATGTATAAAAGGGAAACTTAAGTCTTTGGCTATTCCACAGTGTTAAATCTGTTGCGATATATGTTAAACCCAAATATTGCATAAATTACAGTTTTCTTTTAATGACACATTTTTTTAATATAACAAAATCTGACATCAAAGCAGACTTATTATAAAATGAATTCCATCCAGTTAAGATTTTTAGCATTCAATAAAAATATTTTTAAAAAACTTACAATTTTAAATCGTTGCCTTTAAAATAATATAAAACTATACCAGAAAGTCAAATGAATTCTAGCCTACAAAAATGCAAATCACAAATTTCCAAATCATGACCGACTGAATTTTAATATAAAATTTTGTTCCCCTATTAGTTTATTAATTTTATTACATTCTTCCTATGAAGGTAATAAATATATCCTTAAACCATGCTATGGTAATAATATACCTGGTTGTTTTTAAGTATTTACAGAACCTTTTCATATTCTTTTCTATGAAAACACATTTACAATACCCATTCTGTTATATTTAGTGATTAATGACACTCTCCAAGCAATATTATTTCTAAAGCAAAAAAACGTTTTTACTACTAGTATCTATTCAGTCATATTGATAACCTCTCCAAACATACGAATTTCAAACCTTACAATACCCTTTCCTAAATTATAGCCTCAATTATTTTTGATACTGATTATCCAATTGCATTCAAAATAAGACTGTGTATTAAATTCAGATATTATTCACACAAATATATTTCCCTATACAAAATACTCAGTTTAAACATAATGAGAATTATAAATTCTGCATATTTAACATACATAATATCAAATATTTTTTTCTGCTAATTGTTGTCTATTCTTTCAAAAAATCATACGGAAAATATCTCTATATATTCCTTAAATGATGTGGTAGTTGCGAAATTAAATCAGGAAATTACATAAAAGGAATCCAATGTCGATAGTAAATATTATTTTCATATTAAATTAAAATTATATTATTAAAATCATAAAATTGTATTGAATTTATTGAATGTTTTATTTAAACATAATGAGAATTATTGTTACTATTTCTGTGTAATGAGCAAAAAAATTCTTTGATTCGTCGTCTGTTAAATATTTTCAATATGAGCAAGAAATGCTAAAAATTATCTATTAAGAATCTTTTATTGAAAATCTACTTAGAAAAGATATTTGGAAAAATAAAACTATTATGTTTTTGTAATTTTCTTAAAATTGACATCATTGATCTTTAAGTCTTTAAGTGACATTTGTAACATTAGAAATTACAACGGTGAGAAGCATAACATTCTGATGAAAAAGTTATTAAATATTAACTGGTGCAATGATTTAATATTATTTTATACATTTTATTTCACCTTTGTTTAAAACTATAACATTCAGACTTCTTTTTTATGATTCATCTTTTTTCTGCAGAATGGTTTTGGATCGCCAGACTAAAGATTCTACGAAGCAAGCTATTCTCATTGTCCTTTAGTACTCCACTTTGTATATGTGTTTGTGATGTATTCCTGCAATATTTACTTGGGTTGGCCATACGATTAAAAATCTTTATTGAGTTGTGTTATTTCATTAATATCTGAACTTAGAATAATATAATAAGTTTCTTCAGTTTCTTCATAATAGATATATATATATATAGGTTTACAGATATATTATTTAATATTTTTTATTAACCGTAACAGATGATATACCTAATCAGTCCAGTCTAGTCCATACTTAATCAGAAACTGCTTTTATAGTACATTAAATTTGCAAATTATTAATACTTTTTCTATTTGAAATATAAACATGAATGTCAAAATTGTAATTATAAAATCTTTTCTGTTTAATAATTTATTAAACCATTTGGCATAAACATTAAAATTCTTATTCTATATAAATGCAATAAACAAATATTAATATCTGGACCATATCTAGTTAGTCTTAACTCGTCTGTTTTCGATTTAACCTACGGGACTTAAAATATCAACTTCACGCGTTTTCTAAGAAATCATCTTTACAGAAAAGATTGTATGCATGTTATTAGTAAAAAGTACTTTTAATGTTCATGTATTAATGTTAACAGTGTGTAGATAGCAATGTTATCTATAGAACTTAAGTGGTAGTTTTCCACGCTTTAACAGAACATCCATTGATTTTGCAGTTTTTACATGACGAAAGGCATGTTACTACTCAGTTGTGGTGAGTTTGTTGGTAACAGTTGGTACTAGAAAGTCTCCAAATTATTTATATCTTAAGTGTATATATTAAGTAAACTTCTATTTTATTAGTAAATTCTGTTACGCTAATTTAGGGGGAAATGAATGATGCGTACGTTACATTACATTTTAGTTAAAATGGCATTTATTATTTATTTAATATTATGTTATATTATTTATAAAATATATGTTTGTTTTTAAAAGTCTGGTTTCGAACTGTTAAATAAAACATTTTTTGTGAATTTGACTGGTTTATTTACTTAATTTTACATCTTAAATAAGATTTTTAATAACAAAAATATTATTTAATAATAATTTATTATTATTATTTTAATATAAGAAAACAATGCATTTTAGTAATATTATTATGAATAATTTTTATAATTTATAATTTATAAACTTATTATTATAATAAAAAAATGTTACTATATTTTAGTATATATTTTTTTAAATAATATTAAATAAATAAAATAAAATAATATAAATTAAAAAAAGTGAATAAGTGAATAAATCAAATATAAAATTAAACAAAATAATATATTTCTTAAAGATAAAAGAACAAATAATTAATAAAATATAATTATGATTGACCAGAAAATTCACTTAATTTTTGTCTCTAATTTAATTAAAATATATATATTTCAGGAGTGTAGCACCTTTTGTCAATTCCCTGGTAACTAACAGTGATAAGGCACTAAAATTTTATTACATCCTTCTTTTTGTTATAAAAAAAAGTTCTCTGACAAATTAACTATGTAGCCAATATGCCTGTTTAAAGGTGACGTATCTTAACAATAACTCATTTCTATTAGGCGTGTAAGTCACATTGTTTCAACTACTTTGTGTCAACTTGAATTTCGCTTAATAAAGTTCCAGTCTACCTTCACGCAAAGTTGCCTAATGAGCTGAAATCGAATTAAGGTTCCTGATAAATGTGCCTTTTTATTTATGCATTAAACAATTTCGCTGTGTTAGTAAATCAATTAATTAAACCAAACTGCGCAAACAAAATTTAATTATTAATTCAATTACAAAGCTTTTAACAGATGAAGTCTGCTGCAGAAGCCTACCAAGACCACATCTAAGAAAGGGAAAGCAGCGCAGGTAAGTCAAAGAAAATTTGATAAATTTTGACGAAAAATGTTAAGCGAAAATTGATTTTTATGAGCATTAATCAAAATTTATGCAAATGCCTTAGAATAGGCCAAGTGTTTCACTGAGTGGAGGACGATTGACTAGTGACGAGAAATATGAATATTTAAAAAAGATGTACTGAAAATTTTCAATCCTAAGTTATCAAGCACGATTGATATCTCAGAAATCAAAGTGAAGATAACTATCATTTATATCAAATCATTTGAAAGTATTCTTTTAAAGGTACTCCTTTTCGAATATTAAGAGCGTATCCCTAGATTGAGTTGATTGAAATTGAGATTTAAAATTTCAGAAGAAACGGGCACATTTCAGATTAACATGTCAAAAAAATTAAATATATTTATTTTCAACACAATTATTTCAATTTCATTTTTGTTAATTGCAGCAAACATCACTTAACATAAAATTTTTTTTACTCATAAAAAAATATACCAAGACTCGTGGTCTCCTCCTCACACTACGATTACCCAAAATTAGTGTATATTATCGTCATCCAAGTAGTGACGTGTACATTTTAATTGTTTAAAATACTCATAAATTTCCTCTTTAGTCCATTTCTCAACAACTTGCTTCTTATTTTCATCATCTGTTGACGATTCTTCCTTTTCTTCCTCTGCATCCGGATCATCGAGTTTAATTTGAGACAATGCCTGCACAAGTTCTTCTGGATCAAACTGTTTCTCCTCAGTTATGAATACATGTTCCAATGCCTTTTCGACTTCCTCATCTGTGAGTTTAGCACCTTTGTAGGTCATAAAATGACGAAAGTATTCCACATCAATTAGAGTACTTTTTTGGCCTTTTTTAAAAAAAGCTTTACAAGCATCCCGCACTTCTTCTTCGGTTTCATTGCCGAGCATACGAGTAAACATAGCGAGAAAATTTTCGAAATTAAAACCTTTGCCTTCGGCATCGAATTCGACAGCCAAATCATCAATAAATTCCTTACTGGGATTATGACCGAGCATTTGAAAGATTTTTAGTATCTGCTGTTTACCTATGAAACCATCGTCATCTTTGTCGAAATACGTGAAGGTATCTTGGAATATCTTATATTCAGCTCTTGAGAGTTTATCATGTGACATTGTGACGCTCAAAACCAAATCAGAGTCGAGAGTGGATTTTTTTAGTTTTGGGCTGAGAAACTGAAGTATGGAAAACAAATTTTAGTACAAAAAACCATAATTTAGGAAAAATATATTTATTTCAAACAGTAGTTAAAGCATTTTGATTTTATTAGCAAAGGTAAAATGATTAGACTATACTGTGATTAGATTTCTTAAATAGAAGGCAATCCTTATGGTAAATCATTGACGTTATTGTTACCTTTAAAAGTCATCTTTTTCACTCTCTCCATTTAGTAGATATCTCTTATGTTAACACATAAGTGCCTGGAATGCTGTAGGTATAAACTTTGTGGTTTCTTTCCTTCCTTACGAAGCTTCGAACTGTCATTGAAATCAGATGTCAGCTTTGTAAGTAAAACGTCCTCCTTTGATTTCTATCAGAGTTGTAGTAGTGACTTTTCAGTTGTTTTCAGTTAGTTACATATTAACGATTTAAAGTTGTTATTCTTCATCTATCCTCTTCATGGATTTACTTAGACTTTTTCTCCAAATCCAATTATATTGATAAATGGAAGTTTTGAGCTTGCACTATCAAGTTATATTTCTTTACTCGGTTGAAGATAGGTATTTCTTCCGTTTATTTATCAGCACGTGAGGCGTCATCCTTTTCCCCACAAAACCTTTAAAGGTGCTATTCTCCTGAACAGTTGTGATCAGACAGCAGTAGAGCAATATTATACTATTTCCTTGTGCATGCTTTGATATGTGAAGGTGCTTAAAAGCTAACTTGAAAGTGATTATAATTTTGATATCTATCGAAAATCAAAACCTACTTTTAAACCTTACTGTATGGATCTAACCGTTCTATCTACAGACCCAGGATGTAGCAGTAAGTTGGTTATGAGGATATAGCGAAGAAAAGTTAAAGTTATTCAAGGTGTGAGTAACTTTCCATAAACTAACAAAAGGAAACCAACCATAACAACCATTAACATAACTAAGGCAGCTAAAATGTTTGAACTCCCCCAAGAAGTGAATCTGAGAAGTAATGTTCCGGAGTGTCAAATTGATCAACACCGTCAGATAGGAGTCAAAGATGCTAAGATCAATTATGCAGAAAAGGTATGGTTGCGGTTTCTACCAAGAGGTGTAGAAATAATATGGTGTCTTATAGGAACCGACACATAAAAATTCAGTATATTAGTTCGAGGAAGTACGATATAAAGAAAAAAGAGAAAAATGCACAACATTAGCATTTAATATAGTCTAAAACCAATGGCAGACAGTCTATCGACAGTTAATAACCCAATGAAGACATTTGAAAGACTCATTATATAATCAGAATGGCTTTGAAGAGATGAAGGAAGAAAATCTAGTGATGTATAAAAGGGAGTGTTTTGAGATTCAAGCCCTCTTAAAATATTTTGAACTCTTTTACTTAACGTTAAATATGACTGATATCTGTCAAATAAATGTTTTGAGTTAAGGTTTTAACAAGTTTTACAAAACCCGGCTCTTAAATAAGTCTTCATACATTCCCCTAAAGAAATAAACGCCTTTGTTATATGTCAAACGAATTACCAAGACCAACCTAAGCCGGTTATATGCGTTCCACAGGGATTTTCTATTCATGCGTGAAATTCACAGAAATTCTTGACGAGGACCTATACTCCCTTGTATTAATTTCGTTAGTTTTGCTGAAATTATCATTTACAAAATTTAACCAAAATTTTAAAATTACACTCATCACTCAACATGGCATTTATGGCAATTATTTCGACCGTCGACAAATAATTTACCTATTCGAGTTAAAATCAAAACAAAAACTTATTTACTCTGCCATTTGGTCCGTTGGAATTGTCGAGCTCATCAGTGCATCACTGATGTTGGTAAGGATAGAAATCCAATTGATGCTAATCACGTGCAGTTGAGAGGGGCGAAGCAAATTAACGACCATTAAATGAGCCCGAAAAATACTAAAGCAACAAACCTAAAATTCAGTAAAATATCAGAAAATATCAGAAAATATTTACCAAAATGATGATTTGCAAATTGTGCTCCATTCTGGGGCCCATATCGGATGATGTATCAATCGAGGTCATCGCACTGCATAATTGCTGAAAATATTTTCATAAAATAACCAAACAAATGCATTGATTTACATGCAAAGAACATCTGAGTGCCGTTGGTTCTAATTGTCTAAATGATTGCTCTACTATGGATTAAAAAGGATATGAGCATTTTAATTCAGGACGAAATTGTTCTGATTGCTAGTAGCAGCTTTTGGTTCCGAATAACAAAAAATATTTAAGTTTTATAAAAAAAATAATTTTCATTTGTAAGTATGTTATTTTTAATATACAAATTGAGTCGAACGAAACTATATATTGAATTTAATGATATTGAGGCCACAATATCATGAACGCCATGAATGTCCTGCATTAGCGAATAAAGTTCATAAAATTTTAGTTTAATATTCAATATTTTAATCACTAATTTAGATCCTTCTTATATTGTTAACTTCTTTCAGTCATTAATATAATCTAGACATGATGAAGTATATAAGTAGAAATCAATTGGACTCAGCTATGTATATAATGTATTGTACTCTGACAGCCAGGCTGCTCTCAAAACTCTGTCCTCTTAGACTTTCAAGTCAAAACCGGTTCCTTGAGTGTTATGAGCTCTTATAGCTACTTTTTATTGTAGTATGTATATACATCAACGTCAGTCATGCAAAGACTTATAGATCTCTAGCGATTCCCTACATAGCTAACCCTCAATGTATGTGTATTTGTGTTAGGCATTTTTGAGAGTTCAAGATATAATAAAAGCTGTTCTTCTCAAAAGAACCATCAGACATTTTTCAGAATATGTTTAAAGTGCGTTTTTAGAACAGATCTAAGTTAAATTTAAATTCTTACTATCAGAACTTAAACTTTGTTTGTAGGCAAATATATAATTATAGAAACAAATATATATTGTGCAAACACTTTTTTTAATGAAAATATATATTTTTTACAATTTTTACAATAATTTATTAACCTCTCCTCATTTTAGCGGCTTGAGATCTCTTTTTCAAAAGGGCTCTACGACTGCGATTGGTGTTACGATTGCGGTTGCGATTACGTCTGCTACTAAGCGCTCGCCTACGGCTTGTACTGCTGCTAGCGGTTGTGTTTCGTCGAAGCCGTCGAACTGCAGTAAAACTTAGATTACTTACATAAACTCTTCTCCTGGAAGGTGATGTTGATGATGTTGCTGACGCAGAAGGTGATGACGATGCTGAGTTAGAAGCAGAAGGTGATGTAGTTGCCGATCCAGATGCGGAAGCAGATGCAGTAGGAGATGTTTGTGCCTTCACATAAGCACAAGCGAACACCAAAACAACCAAAACGCTGAAGCACTTCATTTTACTGTTTTTTAGCTTTGAAGTCGAATCAATAATATCCCCATAGATTTGTTCCGGGGTTTTATAGTCAAAAGTGGAAGGTTAACCTTCAACATTGCTTAAAATAATTCAAATTCGCCAATATTGATTAATTTATTAAATAATATATTATTTGTGTTATGCAAATTTTGATAACATAAATTGTTAAATAATATTAAAATAAAAATAAAATAAATATTAAATAATGATTAACTAATCAATCAGATTTTTACTTTTGTTTTTTATGGAAAAAAAATTTTCGACTTCTTTATTTGTTCAAATGTTCCAAAAATGCGTAAATTATTTTTGGATCATGTTTGGTACAAGTGAAGCGAAGTAAGAGGGGAGAAGATTTTCAAGCATATGTCACGACAGCAAACAAACAGAAAAATTTATTAAGAATAAACAATAAATACTATTCAGATCAACACCAATGAAAGTCATTTAAAATTTTTTTATTTATTTGTATTAATTTTTTTATACATACTTTTTTTTTAATTAATTAATATTTTTTTAAATATAATTTTTTAAAGATCTGGGACTGGATCTGATAGGGACTAGATATGACTTTTAGGTGAGAGTTCTGTCACATTACCAGTGTCAGTTAACCAACCTACTTCCGGATACATCAGTGTTAACCAATAATGAACTATTTAAACTGAATTTAGAAAATTTCAAAAAGTATACTTATAAATACGGATACTTATTATTAAGATGAAGATACATTATAAGCAAAATAGAATTACGCATTTCAAAGCTTATACTCGTAGTACCATAATTTCAAGAGATAAGATAAAATAACCACGTATTGCAACCTTTTCTGTACAAATGACAAGGAAGACACTAAGTGAAGCTAGTGTTTTAAATCCTTTAGGCTAAATCGAAGAAATACGAGGTATGTTATATTTAGTTTGGTCTATATACGAGTATTCAAATGTTCTTGATTTGATTTATATATAATTCCATTTTTAGTGTCCATGGCAAAATATTCAGTAGGCTTTATGATGACAATTTTAATATTTATGTTTATATTTTTAATAGAAAATTTATTAATCATAAGCAAATTTAATGTTCTATAGAAAGTAGTTTCTCATTAAATATAAATTGGACTGGACTGATTAGGTATATCATCTGTTACGGTTAACAATAAATAATATTAAATATTAAATCTATATACCATATAGGTATATATTTATTATGAACAAACTGGACTTTTAAATACTTATTATATTATTTCTAGTTCAGATATTAAAGATATATCACAGCTCAAGTAAGGTTTTAATTGCAGGAATACATCATAAATACATATACAAAGTAGGGTACCACAAGACAATGTGAATAGTTTGCTTGGTAGAATCTTTAGTCTGACGATCTAAAACCATTGTTTAATCATGAACTGTAGAAAAAAATATAAACAAAGGTGAGAAAAATGTATAAAATAATATTAAATCATTGCTCCAGTTTATATTTAATGAATTTTTCTTCAGAATGTTATGCTTCCTACCGTTGTAATGTGTAATGTTATGAGTGTCACTTAAAGACAGATCAATGATGTCAATTTTAAGAAAATTACAAAAACATAATAGTTTTATTTTTCCAAATATCTTTTCTAAATATATTTTCAATACAAGATTCTTAATAGATAATTTTTAACATTTCTTGCTTATATTGAAAATGTTTAACAGACGACGAGTTAAAGAATTTCTTTGCTCATTACACAAAAATAATAATAATAATTCTCATCATGTTTAAATAAAACATAAAATAAATGAAATACAATTTTTAACCATGATAATCTAATTTTAATATAATTTGAAAATGATATTTATTATTGACATTGTTTCGGTATGATTTGAAAGAATAGACAACAAATAGCAAAAAAAGAAATAAAAAAAATTTGATGTAATGTATGTTAAATATGCAGAATTTATAATTCTCATTATGTTTAAACAGAGCTTTCTATATGTAGAAACATAATGGTATGAATATTATCTGATTTTAATACATGGTTTTATTTTGAATGTTATTGGGTAATTATTGTCAAATATGATGGGGACTATTATTTGGAAAATTTTTAATTATTTTTAATTTTTAAAGTTTAATGATGCAAAAAAGGGTTCTGTAAACGTGTTTTAATAGAAAAGGATATTATGAAATTTATTTTAAGAACATTTAAAAACAACCAGCTTTATTATTGCCACAGAATGGTTTAAGGATATATTTATTACCTTGATTGTACTTAAGCTTATGAATATATTTAATTAGATGATAAGTAAATTTTTCGATTTTACTCCTACCAGAAATAAATATTACACTGGAATAATGTTACTGTTGCTAATGTTGGCAGATATGAGATCTCAAATGATTTCAGCTCTGTGAGACAAAACCCATGAAAATGACATTCTGAGAATCATGTCGATAAAGTAAATTTTTGTAGCAAATTCTTACAACATCTATATACCCATTTATTTCAAGATAACATAAGGCAAGTGTGTTATACCAATACACTTCATTTGTTATCCACGTGTACTATTATTATTGAACCATTTAGTTTTCCAGGTGAAGTTAAGAAGACCCGATATGTTTGCTTTGAACCCAAGACATTGAAGTCACCCTGTCTGCAATCCTGGACAGAGACACAGAAAGTGGTTGATGGATTCTAACTACTCTTCATCTTGGTAGCTCCTGCATAATCCACTTGATGGAACTCGCCACCGTTGGAGCATATGTGCACAATGTTACAGTGCCCCGTTAGTATTACAGTACGTAATCGAACTGCAGGTTTGTTAAAACCCAAAAGACTTTTCGTTTTCTGCACTTAACTAATATTAAGAATCTTGCTTTATCAAAAGGATAAAGGGTCCACATTGAGGTAAAACTAAAAGTTGTTATCTTAGCAATATTGAAGCTGCAAATGAATGTAAAAAAAAATGTATGTACGGCTAAAGACAAATGAATATTTATAACTGGAAGATATAGTAAATTAATAATAAATACTTTTCATTTTAATATTAATTTAATATAAATGGATATTAAAATTAACTAATTGTAATATTTTGACAAGAGGTTGTACATGAAAGATAATAAAACTGTGACATACTCAAATCAAACTTCTTTTTATATTAATTTAAAAATAAAATAAAATAAATTAATTAACAATTATATCTACATATATGGCAATTTTTATAAAAATAGTAAAATGCCAATATGGTAAATTATTCAATAATGCATAAAGCCATTGATGCCTGAATAAATTTTTTTGCTGATGCAGTTTTGCCAACACTTAACAAAGTCACACATAAATTTAATTTTATTTTAATTTATTATTAAAAATAAATATTTTTTATTTTAAATATAGAATAAAGAACGGTCTCATGAATATTCAGAAAGTCAACGACTGTATAAATTTTCACTGAAAGTGTCAGATTTCTGGCGCGGCTGTAGATTGGTTTATAGATATTGTTTGCACCTCATTCACAACTGACCAATATTCGTGGTTTCACGGTGCTTCACAATGCTTCACGGTGGTTCACAAAGCATCATTGATGGCTGTGGCGTTTTTAGCGGTTTGCGGTTTCCACTTTATACAGTCAGCAAACGAATAGTTGAATCGAAATTTGATACTGGAAATTATTTTAATTCTATGTTGGATTTGCAACAAATAACTCTAAAACCTAGTAGTATTAATACAAGTGTTATGTTACATACATTTTCTTAACTTCTAGTATTTAATGAAAAGAAATAATCACACGATAACCGACAGGAAGGACCACTGCAATACCAAAAACCAACAGCTTCAATTTTTAATGGGAGTCGGGGTTCCTGAAAGAAGTATATCCAAAAATAACTTTCAGTCAGAAAACCGGAGATTGAAAAATATTGTATAGAAATGTTAAGTAAATAAGCTTTTTATAGGTATTGGAAATTTTTAAAAAAAATTAATAATGAACCATTATAATTTCAGAGATCTTTGAAGTACAAGTTGCAACACTTGATATTAAGTTGATATTAAAAATCTTTTATTAAAAAATAATGTATATTTTATTGTATACTTTAAGTTGTTGAAAAAAAACGTTCAAAATTTTCAATAAGAGCTTTTCATATATTAAAAATGTATACCATTTCATAAAATTATTTTCTGTACTTGCACCAGAGATGAATTGTATATATGTTGTATTTTCTTAGGAAACACTCCATATATAATGGCGTCTAAAATGAATTTTTCTTACAAGCGGGTTGTGTGTGATTCAAAATATTCAAGAAAGCTATAGAAATCTTTATTTCTGAGTTTTATTCTTAACATTCTCAAATCTCTTCAACTGATAAAAATATCGA